TTTTCTCAGTGTTTTTGTTTCTTTCTACCCTTTGGTGCTTTGTAAATTCAACATCCTATTCTTCTTCGGTTGTTTAAAGCAGAGTATTTATGCCTTGTCATTATTAGGAAAACGTCATTTTATTTAGAATTGGTATTTCAGCCACCACTGCAGAATAAAATCTTTAGCACGCCTTTACATGTTTTTCTTGCTCCCCGATTGCTCTTTTTCACGTTATTTTTTGTTTCACGATGGCAGTGTCTCCCTGAAGATTTTATTTCTTGGTGAAGGGAAGAAAACATATGTGCTTGGTCTACCATCTTGAACCAGAAGTCTGAAAGGGGGCTTAGGATGCTACAGACACGTAGCTTTCTGAGTGAAAAAGGCAAGTTGTCACCATAAGTAATTCCGAAAGTGCCCTCCCTTTGCCTGTAAACCTGAGTCCCACCAAGGCTGAGCGTGTGAGGGATTTGTCCACCACAAGGCGGCGGCGGCGCGGGTGCGGGGCCGTCTTTGCATTGGCAGGCCTGGTCACATATACTCGCTGCAGCTATTCACATGTGACTATTAGCAAATGAAATTAAATACTTCGGTTGCCTAGTAACTAATCCAATCTGAGAAAGAAGCAAAAATAGAATACATAAATTTAGAACTTTTAGGCCATGTGCCAAGCAAAATAGTCTCACTTGTATCCTTTTGATCATCTGCCATTTGAATGGAAGAAGGAATATTGTGTCGAAGGGGATGTTTGTGTTGATGTTTCTTCCTGGAAGTTACTGAACACGTACGACACACATACTGGCACCCGTAGGACCTCTAGCCACCCTGGCCCCCAAAACACCAAATGGGAGATTACTAGGAATTTATTTTTCTTTCTAAATTAAAAAGCCAAAGGGCATTATGTGATTCCAGCCACATTATACTGTTGGAAGAAAAGCATAAACCATCTGGTTTACCCATTTTCATGCAAAATAAAAAATCATTTTGCCTCGCAAGCAGCTTTTCTACAAGACACAGAAAATTAAGTCATTTATGATTATGTGATTTATGAAGTGATTAGTGGGACTGGAGTTGAAAAAAATTACCAGGATCAATGAGTTGACATTAAATGTGATGTCACTGAATGTCAAATTACTTCTTTTCCTCCTTTAAAAAACATGAAGGAAGCACAATTACAGGTATTGATGGGTAACAGTATTTCAGGATAGGAAGCCAAAGAGAGAAGGAAAAAGTATCCCCCCTCATAAAAATAATTCAGAATTTAAAGAAGGGTTGTAAGAATAATGCGATGAATTCCTAAATACTCTGGACTTGGATTAACGGCTTTGTCATTTTCTTCCTCTCTCACACACGCGTGCGCGCTGTCCTAACCCTTCTGAGAGTTCGTTCATCTGTAAAGATTCCAGCATGTTTCCTGAGAGCATAAGCCGGTGTCATGGTACAGTTCAGGACGTTTCACACTGACATCATGTGACGTTGGTGAGTTGTGTTGGTGTTGTTCTGATCGGACTGATGATCTCACTACCATGTGCAGATTTTTCCACTTGCCCCAGGGATGCCCTTTATAGAAACTGTTTTGCCCCGTGACCCAGGCCGCGCCAGGCATTGCACTGGTTGTCCTTTCTCTTCCATCCTCTGTGATCTGCAGCTGTCCTTCAGCCTTTCTCTTCTTTCGTGACACTGACAGTGTTTTCTTTTACTTTGGAAAATGTTTCAAGTGCTGAAGAATCCTGCGCTGAGCATCTCAGAGCACACCCGCTTGTACAAAGGCAGAACGCGGCGGTCTGCTCACATCCTCGCGCTTTCAGGATGAACATGTCTGTGTGTAAGGCAGCCCATCACAGCAGGCCAGGTCTCGTGAGATCACACGAGAAGGGGGCCCGCGGTGCCCATTGCAGGCCCCTATCCAGGCCTGGGTGCCATCCCAGCAGGCTGCAAGGCTGGGGACCAGCAGCATAACTAGCGCAGGGGCATTTTGGATGAGAACAGAGAATGCGCCTCATTCTGCGGTGTCTGCACAAGCAGTCACGTGTTTAGTCGTAGCTGCAGGGATAATCCAAGTCCTCAGAGGGTCGTGGACCCGTCACAGCCATGCCCCCAAAGGGGTGGCGGGGTCAGGTGTACATGGCCAAGGATATTTAGATGATCTGAATGTTCCCCTGTGACTAGTGGTTAGCAAGCTAAATCTTTACCTGGATAAAGGTAACGTTTTATCAACCCTAGCCACTTGGAGGCAGATTGGCTGATAAAATGAAGAGCTGAGAATGCTGTATGAAGGTCACGCATGAGGCAGAAGAACTAGTCGGTGGGCTTAAAAGGGAGATCCGTATTCAAGCCGCTAGGTTAAATATGTAGCCTGCCTTTGTGAGGCTTTTTTTTTTTTTTTTTTTCTTCCCAGTACTGGGGATTGAACTCACGACCTCACGCTTGCCAGGCAGGCACTGTGCTGCTGAGCTAAATCCTCAGCCCCTTTGTGAGGCTTCTTACCCTCACCTGGGTTTGAGTCGCAGTGATGGGGAAGGTTGGGGAAGGTTTCTGTGGGGCTGAGTTCACGTTTATATGTGGTCACTTTGGAAGGAGAGAAAGTTAAAGGACTGGTTTTTGTCCTGGAGCTGGAAGGGCTCCCTGTTCAAGTCTTCTGCACTGAGATTGTCACTGGATGGCCTCTGCTCCCACGCCCACAGGCTTTGTAAATTCTGGAGCATGTCAGACAGGCCAAGTGTGGTGGCGCACGCCTGTAATCCCAGCACTTAGAAGGCTGAGGCAGGAGGATGGCCATGAGGTGAAGACCAGCCTGGGCTACATAGTGAGAAAGTCAGCCAGTTCTTTGGGGCCCCGCTGCGAGAGCTGTTGGTTTAGCATCCAGGCCCATCCCTTCTGATAGTCCTCTCCTCCTTCTCCTTCTCCCCTTCCTCCCCTTCCCATCTCTGCAGTTATTTCTGAGCCTACGAACGCAGGCTGGAAACAGCACAGCAGCCGCTGTCAGCTAGGGCACTGGATTCTTGCGGCTCTTCCAGCTCCTGAGGTTTGTCTGATAATTCTCGCCCACAGGTTCTGTGACTCTCCTTCCCGCTCCGTGAGCACCTCTCAGCGCTCCCGTCCTGTGCAAGACCAGCGCTGAGTGGGCAGCTCTACAGAACAAAGATGTTGCTCTACATTCTGTCGTTCGTTGATTTTTACCTGTCTCTCTAGATTTCTGTCATTCATTCAGTAAGCATCTGCTAGGTACCCGGCATTGTTCCTGGCCCTTGAGGTAAACAAGCAAGCTGAGTTCCCACCCAGGCAGCGTTTCTGTTCCGGCAGGTAGCGTGTGATGGATTAGCGCAGGAAGACAGGAAGGTATAGTTCTAGGTGGAGAAAAGCACTATGATTAAAATCAAACCAGCTGATGTGAAAGCCGGCTGAGAGGCATGGGGCGCTTACCTGACTTCCCCTCTGCCATCTTCCCGAGGCCCTGGCTGTGTGGGGTTTATGCTGTAGCCTCTCTGGGCAGACTGGTCGTCTCCCCCCTCTTTTCCCTGGAGCTGGATCCAGGGTGAGTTGGGGCAGAGTTACCACAGAGCACCAGGCACTTCCTGTTGGCCCGTATAGAGAGCCCAGGTTATAGGACATTGCCGGGGCCAAGACAGGGCACAGTCACAAGCAGCCCTGGGCTAGGGATACCAGTGAGTCTGTTGATTCATCGGAGACATTACTTCCCGAAGAAAAAGACTCATCTGTTCAGCAGACGCCAATAGAGCACCATTTGTTTAACCCAGTTTCTGTGTGGAGAACCGGAAGTGGTAGAGCAGATTGAGACTAGCTGTCACCTTGCTTACCCTCTCGATGTCATATGGCAGTGTCTGTCGTCGTGCAGGTGACTTTCTGTATCTCTTACGAGTGAGTACCGCTCCGGGCACGTCTGCCCCTAGAACTGGGCCATATGTGATCCTCTGCTACTCGTCTTTCAAAATCAGAAGGTAACAGACTGAAATTATGACTTCCAACGGTGTGGGTGTTGCTTTTCCCCATCTTTTCAAAAGGTCGCATCTTTGGGCTACCCTGGAATTTAGCGTGCACCCAGGTAGCCTGGGTTGGGCATGGGGGTGGGAACAGCTCTATCTGTCAGTTTCTTGGTGACGAGCTGCTGAGCCCTCCACCGGGTTCTCCTCAGCAGCATCAGCCCAGGGAGGATGCGTTCTCAAGACAGCTGTGAGCAGTTCCACATCCTGCGCTACAGAAAGAAGCCCTCGCACCCTCACAGCCTCCCCAGAGAAGCCTGCTCTCACCAAAACGTGCCCTGCCACTCTCACCTGCAGACTGGGGAGCGGGCCCGGTGTCCCGAACCCAGCCAGCTCTGGGCGCACGGCTCTCCTGGGCTCGAAGCTTGGGCTCCCTGTGACCATCCCCACATGCCAGACCTCAGCCAGCACCCTTGGTGGCTTCTGGCTTCCAGTCTGCAGCGGTAGGTGGGTGCTGGCCGCAGCACCCCGATGCCCACCCTCCTTGCTTCCTTTCCGGTATTGCGCTCACCTCCTGGTTCCCCAGCCCCTGGGGACAGCAGAGGCTCCGTGGAAGGGCGAAATCCAACACCTGTTGTCGCAGCCAAGGTGGCCCTGGTGGACAGCGGAGCAAGGTCAGAAGGCGAGACCCCCTGACTTCAGGGTCTTGTGCACATCAAGAAGCCAAACCCGTGCAGCGACTTTGATCATAGTAAAACACAAGGCGCGCACAGGGAGTCCCCCGCTCCTACTGGACAGCACCCTTTTTCAACACCACAAGGTCCCTAAGCCAAGAAAGCATAAAACTGTCAAGCCTTACTGTCCTGTTGTTCTCTTGTGACCTTTACTAGTGCAGGGGACAGTTGCACCCTCGCCCTGCCCCCAGCCCCTCACCTGCCCTGCTCTGGAATCCCAGCTCTAGACCCGGCCGCTACAGCCTGAGCAGCATGGACCACTTCCTCCCCTGGTCTGGGGCCCCAAGCACAGCCTCCTCACCCGGAGAGAGAAAGACCAAAAACAAGAAGGAAAAATAAGCAGTCCTCCATCGGTGAGAGCCGCCATTTTTTGGTAATACAATGCGAAAGTAACGTAAAAGATGAAAATAAAAACTTGAAGAGCCAGAGTGTACAAGCCGTAGCACAAGCAGCGTCTGTCACCATGGAGCTCCATGACTGTCCCCAGCAGCAGTGGCCACCGGTAGTGGTGCACATCCATTGGCATACTGGCCGCCCTTTGCGGGAGCAGCAGGGTGACGGTCTCTCTCCAGAGAAGCACGGGGCTCCAGTGGCCCGCAGCTGGAGGGCCACGGCATGCTTCTCCCGGAGCTGCTGCCGATCACGCCCTAGGAAAGGCAGGGCTTGCTGGGCTTTGGTGCTTTGTTTTGCTTTTTAATCTCAGATGCCACTGCAGAGCCACAAGATGTTCATTATAATTTTCTAGATACCGCCAGCAAAAGCTTCACCCTTCGAGGGCGAGTGAAATGTTCAGGCGGCGTGGGGGCTGGGACAGGCTGGGAGGAAGTGTCATTTCCGTTAGGAGAGACAAGGAAGGGGCCGGCCATACACAGAGCCTCATTCCCAAGCTGGCAATTCTTACACTTAATATGTTTTGTCAGGCAAGTCTTCAATACAGATTAAAATGAAATGCCAAGTAATTTCCACCTCTCGGCCGCTGGTGTCTGGGAACAATGGAAAGTGTTTTGATGGATGTCACTTAACTCTGGGAGATTCGGTCCTAGCAGCCAGGACTCAGGAGTGGGGGATGGGATGGCTGTGTACCCAGCAGGGGGAGGGGAAGTGTGTTACATCCTCCCTTTCTGACGGGCTCCATCCGAAGTATCCCAAGCTGAAAGTGAGTCAGAAGCAAATCAGGACACCAAGAGCGTGAGGCCTAGCTTCTGAGAGCCAAGCCAGGTCCCCTGGGGTGGGCAGGTCGCTGTGGGTCATGGAGTCTGTCTCGGTGGATGGGGATGCCAGTCTCTCTGCCTCCCTCTGTTCTCTCGGTCAGTTGAAGTCTCACCTCTTCCTGTCTGCACAGGAGCTGTCCCTGCGAGCTGCTGGCCGGTTCTGCCCTTGTGCTGGTAACAGTTAGCACTTCTGTCCAGGAGTGACGGAACTAAGTCTCCCGACACCTGTGGATTACGCAGGTTTTCCCTGCTTAGTCCTGAAGTGGTGGGGAAAATAACTCCGCCCCTGTTAGATGTCAGATGTGCCGAGTTTGTGGTCCCACAACATGGGGCAGTAAAGCCAAGAACCAGAGGAGGAAGTTCGGAGCGTTTTACTGGGAATGAGGAGGAGGATAGCGCCTGGGTTTCCAGGAGGGGTGCCGAGTGGGTGGCCGTCGTAAGGGGTAATTCATCCAGCACGATCACAGCGTGGGTACAACGGGGGTCAAACTGCCATCCAGCTATAGCCACTTAGCTAATATTGACCCAGGAGGAAAGTGGGTCGCACTGCAGTGCCGCTTCATTGCGGGAAGAACAAAGGCATTTTGGGAAAGGAAGGGGAATAGCGGTCTGGGTGCTCTGGTCGCTCACCGAGGTGCCTGAGGCCCATCTGAGCCTACTGGACCTGGTGGCGGGACTCACGGCATAACCTCAAGCTGCCGCCTTTCTCTAGTGAGGCTCACTAGGCCTGGCTCCTTCCTGTCCATCTTGAGGCCTTGGTCTCTCGGTTCGTCCCCGGCACAGCTCTGGCGTCTCTTCTTTGCACTGACTTGTCCAGGACCCAGGCCGGCTCTGACTGCCTGTTAATTTCTGTAAGACTTAGCGACCTGTGACAACAGTGACCAGCCTGTTCCCGTTAGTGCTCACGTGGATTTTGTTGGTTTGTCTTTTGAATCACTCTTTACCCCATCTTGTAGCATTAAGGCCAACACTCGTAGACACTGGGTCTGAGGAACTTGGTGCGGAATTCTTGGAACAGGTGGAATCGCGCTGTCTTGTGAGCACAGTGGCAGCCCCAAGGGGAAAAGGCGTAAAACCCCAGGGTCCTGGGCTCCGCCGTTCTCATTTCTGCCCCATGCTGGCTCCTTCCGCAGAACCTGTCCCCAGGGACCGCTGTCCCCATCTCACCAGCAAGGAGCTGAGACCCCAGGCCTGGAATCCAGTTACATGACAACTGCCGGGCGCACATCCCAGCTCTCTCTCCAGGGCTTATTTTTCAGAAAGCTTTTGACTATCACTCAGGAATTGAGCCTCCTTAGAGGAAAAAAAATTCTACCAGTTGGGGAAAGAGGCGCTTCTTGTTGCACTTGTTCTGAACACTGCTGCCGAGTTCAGCTTTTAACCTTGCACCTGGGTCAGTAGCCAGTCTCCAGGCGGAAAGCATAAAACTCGATCTCCCCTTGGCCGAGGCCAGCTTGCGTCGCCACCTCCTGTGCTTTCTCCTGCGTTTCAGAGGCCACCCAAGGTTTCCAGTTGTTCCACTGTAGACGCTGGAAAGCATGCAGTGAGGCTGAGTCTTCATCTCCTCACCCCTAAATCGGGGCCATGGCCGCACCCCTGGGCCTCCCGGGAGATGCAGGGCCTGGAGGGGCGCTGGCTGGCAGGAGCTGCAGGCTCAGCCAGGCACCCACGTCCCTTCCAAGCAGCCCCGGCCCCGCTGGTCTTCCTGGCTCTCTTGGGTGAAGCAGCCTGGTATTGGGCGGGTTCAGGACTGCATATGGGGGAGTGGACTCTTGGTGCCTCGGACGGGAAAGAAATGGAGAGGTTCTGAATATCCAAAGGCGGGAGTTCAAAACACCGTTCAGGTGCATATGGGGTCCTCTGCCCCAGCCAGTGAAGTTAGCTCCAAAGAGCAGCTTTGTGGGGTGGGAGAGCTCAGGGGCACCTCCTCGGGCTCATCCTGATCACAGGGATTCTTCGCTGTCAAAGTCACGTCTCTGGCAGGACACTAAAGCAGAGCTGAACATCTGTCAGTAAAGCTCACTTCCTGAGGAACTCCTCACGTAGGCGGAAATGCCAGGGTGGCTGGAGGAGCCCTGGCTCAGCCCAGGCCCCTTCCCTGGCAGTTCACACTGGCAGGTGCTCCCTGGGACATGGCCTCAGGGCCCAGGAGAGGAGGGTGCCAGGAAGGCAGCCCTGCAAATGCACGGCGAGAGTTGCTCATGGTTGTGCCAGCCTGAGGACTGCATGTGGGGGAGTGGACTCTGGGTGCCTCGGACGGGAAAGAAATGGAGAGGTTCTGAATATCCTGTGTCTGCTCCAGCGGCCGGAAGGGGCTTGCAGAGATTGCTGGCTTGGCCGGCTGCCAGTGGGGCGCAGGGGCCCTGCAGTGCGGTTTCCCAGGGCCCTTTGGCATGATGCAGAAGGCAGAGATGGGAGGCGTGGGGAGGCCGAGATGCTGGGGTGGGCGGATCACGCACAGCCAGCACACACACGCCCAGCATCGCCCTGCCCTCAGAGCAGCTTGGGAACACCCGCTGACTGAGTCTGAGCAATAGGTCAGCCAAGGGTGTGCCGGACGCCTTTGAACTCGGCAGTGTGAACCCCGTGGGGTGGGCGCACCCCAGGCCTCTGATTTCAGTGTGTGTGATGAGCACCCACATGGCAGAACCAGGGACAGGCAGGGTGCAGCTTCCCGTGGGTGGGAGTGAGTGCTTCCTCCGTGTTTCCCTCCAGCTCCCTGGACAGCGGGACTGTTCCCTTCCCGGTTATTTCTCTCGGCCTTTCCTCCAGGTGACCACCTGGCCTCAGGGGTATCTCCCACAGGGCTTCCCCTTCATCCTTTCTCATCCTTTCTCCTGACCTCTGACACCAGTCGTTGTGGATACCAGCAGCACAGCACCCTCAGGCATGCCGGACCCAGGTCCAGATGCAGTACGGCCCGAGCGCACTGTCCCTCTGCGGCTCCCGGGACAGGGAGCCCAGGAGCTCCCCACGGAGGGGTGAGGAGCACCTGTTTGCAAGCTTCCAGCCACCTTGATCTTACCACCAAGTGACAATGGCTTGGGGTGGACTCCTGGGCCCTTCTGCAGCCTGGGGAGTGCACGTGCTCATGGAGGAGATGGTCAGCTCATCATGAGGTCTTTCACTGACCTTTACCCTCCTGCCCCTGACCCCCAGTGCATCCCTGGGGGAGTCCAAGGTGCTCCCTGCCAGCGCCTGCTGACTTGGCCCAGATCAGTGTCCAGAAGCAGCTGCTGCCCTCTGTTTCTTTTGCTGGTCTGAACGCATCTAGGGGTAAAGAAGATAAAAAAAAATTAGCTATAAACCGCAGTTCACTTCAGCAGAGAGTGAAAGATGTTTCCAGTACGCGTGTGGCTCCTGCAGCCTGTGGTTCTCACGCAGGTAAACAGGCGGCCCCAGAAAAGCTTGCTTGGGGCTGTACTGCCTCAGTTTACACCCCTGCAAAACCAGAGCAGAGCCCCAGCCCATCCCCTTGCATCTCGTTTTACCTCCTCTGAAGCATGGGGAGCCGATCCAGGCTGGCTGCTGCTGAGGCAACGCACCCTGCCGGGGGCTCCTCTGCCCAGGCCCTTCTCCCGAGCCCCAGCTCTGCAGCCGGCCCCGAGCTCGGGAGGGAGCAGACAGCACAGCCAGGGCAGCTGGGGGTGTGCTCAGGGCTTTGTCCAAAAGCAGTGCGCACCAGGCGGAGGGGCGGCGCCAGGGCGTCAGGAGCCCTGAAGAAGGAACCTGCATCCTCTCATGCCCGCTGGGCCCAGCTGCTCCTTCTAGGCATCCTCCCAGAAGAATTAGACATCACGTTACAGGGATCCACGCACACCTATGTTGACAGCCGCACAATTCGCAGTAGCTAAATCTTGGAAGCTGCCTACATGTCCATCATCAGAGGAACAGATAAAGAGTGCATCGGTGACACGCCATGGAGTACTGCTGTGCTGTGAAGAAGGATAAGCTTGAGTCATTGGCAGGAAAGTGGATGCATCAAGTCAAATAAGTCCGGGCTGGGAACATAGCTCAGCGGCACAAGTGCCTGCCTAGCAAGCACAAGGTCCTGAGTTCGATTCCTGGTACCAAAAAAAGGTGTGTGTGTGTGTGTGTGTGTGTGAAATAAGTCCAACACAAGCTTAAGAATCATACGGGTTCTTTTGCATGAGAACCCCAAAGTGTACATAAAGAGCAAAATGAAAGTCAAGAAATAGGACACAGGGAGAAGAAAAGCAGTGCTGTGTGCACGGCCAGCTCCCCAGGCGGGTGTGGCCTCTGTACCACGAGTGTGTGTAATGAAAACCCTCCTCGCTGCAGGAGCTGTACATCAGATGAGAGCGATGAGGCCCTCGAGCTCCATGACAGTAAGAACTGTGCCAGAGTCCCCGGCACCAGGGAGACCCAGCCTGGGGTCCCAGTGACAGCCAGGTCCCCTTCCCCCTCCCCAGCTTTCCATCCCACGGCTGAGAGACCCAGCCGATCCCAAGGCTGCTGCTGCCAAGTCAGAAGGTCTTGCACCGAAATGAAGGTGACTGTGAGGACGGCCGAGTTCTGGAAATGCCTTTTGGGAGGAAGATCGGGGAGCGACCTGCCACTCTGCCCCAACGGGGGAGGAGCCCTGTGCTCCAGCAGGCCAGGAGCTGTTTCCTGTCTGCCGGCTAGCCGGGCCGGGCCTGGGCACAGGACATTTGATTTTGAGGCTCAAGCATGCTTACTCTTAATCCTGCTTTAACAGCAGGGACACTGAGGCCCAGGAGCAGAGCGCAGGGCAGCATTGCGGGGCTGCTGTGTACGGGACCAGGCCGAGCAACCGCTCCGGGACGCACAAGAAGACTCGTTCCCTCCCGCAGGGAAGGGGCCCTGGATCTGTGCTGCCCACTCTCCTCAGAACAAGGTCTGTGCGTGCCCAAGCCCAAATACCTGTGGTTCTAAGGTGCTTTCCTTCGCGCAGTCTCCGGCTGTTTGCTAAGCATCTCTTATTCGGTCATGCCAGAGAATAATTGCAGAGGGATGCTTTACAACAGGGCTACCAGGGGAGCTGCAGAGACCCCTGGACTGGCCTCCTCCCCTTCCGTTCTCCCCACAGGGACATCCGAAGGGGCCCCTCCCTGCCCCGAGCATCTGCAGCAACAGGAATGCCACCTCCCACCATAGGCCTCGAAGGCCACTTCTGAGGGTGGGCCCTAGGCCAGGATTCCGGAGGAATTCTTGGCAGCAGGTGGCCTGTGGCACCTTCAGGGCCAGTGGAGGTGGGGCCCTGCGCTGCTGCGACAGTGACATTCTGGAAGGCAGGTCAGCGTCTGCGCCCCCAGGAGCGGGGTACAGCGTGGCTGTGCGCTTGCCTTCGGCTTTGCTGTCATCTCCCTGAGCAGTCTCCTGATAGGTCTGAGAGTTGGACCAACGGAGGTCATGGTGGTGAGATCGGGGAGGAGCAGTGTGACTCCTTCAGTCACAGAAGCCATTCCTGCCTCCCCTGAGCACGTGCGGTAGGGAAGAGGTGACGCTTTCTCTCCCAAATTGGGGGTTCCCCTTCCTGTCCTGTGACCCCTGCAGAGGTTTTCTTCCTCTAACCCTGTATTGGTTGCTAGATTTTGAAAAATATAATTTCTTGGGAGAAATATTGTTGAGAAGAGAAAGTACACACACAGGGCAGAGCCCTTAGAACCTGGTGTGGGAAATGTCACAGGCGTGGGACATGCCACTAGCCTCCACCAGCAGGAATTGTGGCAGGGGAGCAGGACTTTTGAAAAGGAAACTTAGCTCTCTGGATCACCAGAAATGCCCAGGGTGGGTCCAGGGCCTCAAACAGCCCCCTCTTGTCTGACCACTGAGTGTGACAGAAATGTGCAGGGCCAGGGGAGGGGCACTCACCTGCTGCAGGTGGACCCCACAGAGAGCCTCAGGCTCGCAGGGAGGTCGCCATGCAGGCCTGGCGGGACCCTGAAGATGATGACCATGAGCTCTGGGTGTTCAGGAGAAAATGGGGACAGGCAGCCGGGATCGTTTGTTAACTGGCATTTGTCCCATGCCAGGTTGGGAAATGTTCCTTCCGTTGTCCATCTGTCTTCCTCAGCTTGCAGGAGGAGGAGGCTTTTCAGAAAAAAAAAATCCCTCCTGGAGGTAAGCACAGAGGTGCCTGCCAGTGGGAAGCGTGTCGCACACCCTCGTCCAGGCAGCAGGAAGCTTGCTTTTTCTCGGAGTCCTGCAAGAAGAGCTCTCGAGGAAGTTGCTTCTGAAGGCTTCTTTGTGTCAGTGGAGGCTTCCAGGTGCTGAGTTTCTTTAAAACAAGGTTTTCTTGCTTGTTGCCTGGTTCTTAAAATAGTAACAAGCGTTACTGAGGAACAGCAAGGGCCGGCAGCCTTCTGGGAGCGCCCAGTGCCTGAGTCCTCGTCACGGCTGATGGATGCATGTGGAATTCTCGCGTCCTGTCCTGTGCCCTCTCCTCCCCTTCCAGCCTCATAACGGAGATGACCCCCAGTTTAAAAAGGAAGACGAATAAACATTCAGCCACCTTCAGGCATTTTCAAATTCAATAAAGAATTAGGCAGAATGTTGCATGCCTGTAATCCCAGCACGTTGGGAGCCTGACGCGGGAGGATTGCGAGTTCAAGCCCAGCCTGGGCAACTTACTGAGACCCTGTCTCAAAAAGGCTGAGGGTGTAGCTCAGTGAGAAGGCCTTGGGTTCAATCCCCAGCACCACAGAAAAAGAAAGAAAAAAACAGAGTTCTAAGAGCAAGTTCATAGGAGGTCTCTTTCCATTGTACAAAATTGTCACATTTAGCCAGATGTGGTAGCACACGGCTGGAGGATCATTGTGAGTTTGAGACCAGCTTGGGCTACAGAGTGAGCTCAAGGCCAGCCTGGACTGCATAGCGAGATGCTGTCTCAAAAAAAAAAAAAAAAAAAAAAAAGCATATTTAAATCCTTTTGGGTGGAGAAACACAAGCACTTCTACCTTTAGACACCCCTGGAAGCCCTGGAGAGAAAGCACTTAGCCAGCTCTGACGACTGAAAAAAAGAACAGGAAAAAACAAAGCCCAAACTACAATACTAAATTCATGCCATGGAGAAGAAGAAATCGTAAGGCCCCTCCCCAGAAGACGCTGCCATGGCAAAGGTGAACCTTCTGACCGCGAATCCACCACAAGGAAGAGCTATGTTGCAGCCTAGGTGCAGAGCAGCCTCTAGATCCTTCTGCCCGTGCCCCAGCCTGATGTCCTCATGCCCTGCCTCCCCCTCCCTGCCCCAGAAGGTGGCATCAGGTATGGGGCCATTGCAGTCCAAAGAGCCCTGCCTTGAGGGTGAGTTCCGGGCAGGGCCTGCGTCTTGCTGGGCTGTGACTGAAATGCGTGGAAAGCAAGTGCTTCCCCTTACCCAGTAAGCAAAGCTCAGCAAGTCTGGTTCCCCTAGGAAAGCACGGCTCTCAAGACCCAGGATGCGCGGACGGTCCTCTCCCATGAGCTCTTGCGAAAGCAACACGGGTAGACCTTGCATGGACCATGTGTGGCAGGGAGAACCGCTGAGGTCCCAGGTAGCTCCACTCCTGCTGTGTTGCGGGGAGCGCAAGGCATCACAGACTGATTCTGGTCATGAGATCACCAAGTGCCAGCTGGAGGAAGACCTGTGTCAGAGCCTCCGTGTAATCACAGCAGGGTGCTGCATGCTGGAATTTCCTAGTTCACAGAAAAGGATGTTTCTGCTGCAGGCACCTCCCTCAAAAATCTTCAGTTTAGGATTCATCAGGATAATTAAAAGAAAGTACTGCAGGAGGCAGGGTTGTAACTTGGAACAAAGACGTACTAAAGGGAGTTGGTGACCCGAGAGCTCCGCCCGACTCAGAAGATCCACAGCCTCGCCCTGGGGCCCAGGGAGCCCGCGGCGATGGTGGGGATGGTGGGGGAGCTGTCGAGGGCTGGGGGGCCCTGAGCACCTGGCCAACCTTGCCTGAGAGCCATTGGCATTGGCAGGTGTCCAAATCCTGCGGCTGACTTTCAGACCGTTTAATTGCGACCATATTGCCAATAAAAAGGGAGAGAACGGGAAAGTGGGGGGCAGGTGCCAGGGAAGAAAGAGATCTTGGCAAAAACCTAGGTGCACTTCTCCCACCACCGCTTTGACCAGACAAGGCCACAAAGCTGACACAACAGGATTAGCACAATTGCTTTGAGAGACCAAGGCCCGGCGTGACGTGCACGACAGCAGAGGCATTGGTAGGATTAACCTGCCGGGGATCAAGATGTAGCAGGCAGGGACCTGAATTAATGAACTGGCGTGACCAAAGCAGGAAAATCTATTTGCATGCGATGTTAACTGTGCTAATAAACTCCAGGCTGAGCTCCCCGGGCCCGGCAGCCTCAGAACCAAAGTTTTTCTTTCAAAGCCCACCCAGAAGGCTCCCACCAACACGGGCTGAAGCACACGGGCTCTCCAGGCTGCCTTTGGGTTGTTTGCCATCCCTCCAAAGTGGCCTTGCTGTCTCAGATGCCCGTGACGGCACACAGGCTTCTGGAGCCGCAGATGACCCTAATTTAGAGGGTTCTTTCCTGCCTATGAAAAAGCTCTACTAAAGAAAGAAAGGTATGGCGCACTCCAGAGAATACCTCCCTGGAGCGGGTTCTTCTGCCTGCTGTGTGCGTTCCACTGCCTTAAAGTCGGGGTGAGCAAGCCAGGTGTCCGTGGGAAATTGCAGGAGGCCCCCCATGGCCCTGCCCCTCTGAAGGTTGTCAGGAGAGCAGCGTAAGATGCACCCATCCTGATGCAGACCCTGGGTACACAGCCGGTGTTGGTCAGGAAGTGGCCTGAGACACACGCAGTGCTGGAGACAGGCGTGAGCCCTGAGGACAGCAGTGAGGTGGACTCTGACCGTCCGGTCACTGCCCTGGGCAGTGGGACCTCTGTGAGCTTGTGGAATGCATCTCTGGTTATCGAGCCAGGGCCTGTCCGCCCTCTCCTGACTGTCCCTGGCTGGTGGCTGCTCAAGGACATGAACTCCCTGCCCCACAGACTACACATCCTCCCGTACCCCAGCCCAGGGAGCCACCAAGCTGAGCTTCACGTCCGCACAGAGGGACACCAGGCTGGACACTGCAGTGGCTGCCCCGTGGCCACGACTCAGTTCAGCCCTGAAGACGTTGAGGCTGCATCCGCCTCCATTGTGCTGAGGACCGTCGGGTTTGAACAGAGCAGCGCTGCCCATACCTGGTTCATCAGAGTGCCTGGGCTTTGCCTGAGCTTCGCCCCCAAACCCGCTGCGTGGGGCCAGGGTTGAGGTGCAGCCCTGATGCCCCCAGCCACCGGAGTCGGCCATGGCTGATGGCAGACCCAACTGAATCTGCGGCCCCGGGATGAATGTGGAGGTGGCAAGTGAGGAAATGCATCCCACATTTCTGTCACACTCATTTCTTTCCAGACCTGGCAGGTGGAAAACTGCTTCCACCTAGACCTGTGGTGCTGCAGAGCTTAGATAAACGCCGTGTGCTTCGTGCTGCCCACGCCAAAAGATCGGTATGTGATGGTAGGAAAAGAAGAAACTCAAAAGAGCCGGCTTGACCCCAGCAGCGAGCTAGTGAGAGAAGGCGCCTCAGACAGGGTGGAAGATGAGGTAAACACTCCTGCCGCCGCTGCGTGACTTTGGGGCGGGAGGCGAGATGTCCTGGTCCTCTTACAGTCTCTCGGGTAGCTGCCGTCCTAAGCAGGCAGGAGCAAGTGTAGAGGTCGCTGGACAGGCAGGTGCAGGGCTGTCCCGGCAGGGCCCCTCGGCAGGTGGCCCCGCTCATCCAGCTGTGTCCGAAGGTCTGGAGACAGGAGCTAGGGCAGGGCAGGCGGTGGGTAGGGCTGGACCTCCGGAGCCTGCGGGCTTTCGCAGGGAACTTGGATTTGGATCTGAGCGCATGGGAAGCAGAAGAGATTGAAGCGGGAGGGGGACGCGCTCTGATCCATGTCACAAAAGGGTCGCTTGGGCTGTGCGGAGAATGAACCATGGGGGACAAGTCAGAGGCTCATCACCCTGTCCAGACAAGCGGTGGACTGGGTTTCGGGGTGGGTGTAGAGGGGCTGTGGAGAAAAAGAAAGACACTGAAATGCAAGACAGTGGGACTTTCCAGACGGCCTGATGACTCCAAGGGACAGCAGGCAGAAATGCTGACCATTGCGGCACCCCCAGCCGCAGGGTAGCAAGGAGTTATGGCTGTCTAGGTGTCCCCCAAAGCCTCATGTGGTCATGGGGAGCGGGCTTTTCAGAGGCTGCTGGATCTAGAGTGTGTGGTGCTGGGACGAAGGGTGTATGATTAGTAAATCAGTCCACTCATTGGTTTGGCACAGTTCTGGCTGTGTAAGCGTGTGAGTGCTACACCTGCCCTAGAGTGAAAATGGGTAGGAGGGATGTTAAAATAGAGAGATAGGGGCTGGGGATTTAGCTCAGCGGCAAAGCGCCTGCCTGGCAAGCGCAAGGTCGTGAGTTC